CTACACTTATTCTTAGTCTTTCCAATGGAACCATATTATCTTAGTAATTTATTAGATATTTAGTAAAACATCATATTTAAACGAGGAATCACTCTCCTAGAACCACAGACAATGAGAGCAGATGAGCAAATGAAGCACTCAATGACAGGGAATGACATGGAACAGAAAAATATTCAAATATAGATGAGACATGCTTAAAGGAACATCAAGTTGTCACTTAACAAAAAAGGAATGTCAGAACAGAGAACAAGTCTAAATGGCCTACCACTTATTACCATCAGTTGATAGAAGACAACCTAATGAGCCAATCGAAATTGACAGGAAAGTTGATTGTTTAGTGCAAAGTTCTACATAATCAGTACCCAGAATTTTATTGATATTCAATGAACCTCATTTCTATGTCTTAAACATATGTAGTTCTCATATAAACCAATGAAATGTGCTTACCATTACAGGATTCTTCGTCATAGCCCACACTTCAACAGGAGCATCACGAAACAAAATAAGAAGATACCTGTAAACATCTTTAATTAACTTACAGGTTTCAATAGTTTGTATCAATCAGTCAAATAGCATGAACAATAGATAGGGGCATTTCCTTCAACACAGATTACTTTCAAACATGACTAAATTTGAATACATGGACATGTATGAAACTGGAAGCTTTAAATGCTGTAAAAACCAAAATTCCACATGCTACTTTGAGATCAAGCAAAACCATGTGCAAGTTGTTTAGAATACATGTTTCAGTAACTCATTGAAGCATGGGTACATGAAAGTCGGTTTTGTCCTTTGGCTGTATTCCACATTTGATTTGAGCTTTCTATACCTATATGCTAGGAATATTTTTAGGGGAACCTTTTAGCATAAGACGTTGCACTCCAGGCAACTTCTTAGAGAAAGTTTACTAAGGGGACAACGTAGGAGAGTTGGAGTGTACAATAGTTGAAAGTTTATGGATCACCTTTTCTAGAACAAAAAATGTGCTCTATGAAGGCAGCCCTTCCTTGCAGGTGATTCTCAATACCTTTACTTATCAGACCAAGAATCCACGATAATTTTAGGCTATCATGAGATAGAAAAACTCCTACAAGAAGTGCCATAAATCTCAAATTTACAGTTTCCCATATGTCTCTAAGATCTAGGATTTTGGTTTGTGAGGTCCTCAACTTTTCAACAATGTAATTAAACAACCAATGAAAGTCTAGAATTGAAAGTGAGAAATGGAGAGACTTTGTCAACAACAAACCAATCTTGAGCCCTCTTCAAGGCCGAGGAAGGCCTAAACCAGACTATTCCACATTAATGTGCTTGCTATTCTTTCTAAAATTTGTTAATCCCCCCATTATTGTGGAACCAAATTTTAACCATTGGAAGGGAAAGAAGGTTGAGAGTGTCGAGTTTCCTTACCAAGATCTCCTATCTAAGGAGATGCACCCACACAGAGTTGTATCTCTTAAGGGAAACATTTGCGAGCACTTAAAAATGTGTTCCTGCTCTCTCAGGAATGCTTTCTCATCTTCCTGGAACTCTTATAGCATAATGACACATCCCCTCTTCTATGTAACATAAAACCCCATCAAATAGGGACTATTGTTAGGGTTATGCGGCCATTTAAAGGCCTTATGAGAGCATGTAAAACTACGACTATAGTGATATGGGAGCATGTAAAACTAAAGTGGGAGTACGGTCCAGCGGGACCAAAGGATTATCATCCAGAAGGGCCGAAGTTGACAATATTGATGCCAGGATTCAAACTAGGCTTGAGGAGCTAGGCTGAGGTGAGTTCTAAAACCCTATGAGACCTGGTCATATAGCACAATCGAGAAGGGTTTGCAAGGTTAGCCCTTGATGAGGTTGGAGAGATGCCCAGGGTAGTTGGCAAAGGGACTTAATGACCCTTATGGGTGATTGGTAGGCCTAGAGGGACAAGGGCCAAATCATCATCATGATCATCACACTGCATGTACATATGATAGCCATATTGAGAAGTAGACACCATTGAGGGTGTTATATTTATATGTGCAAGAGATAGCCCCCATGCACAAATTGCGATGAGTGTAACCTAGGCGTGTCCTTAGGGGGAAACCAGTAGTCCATAAACTAGGATTGTGTTCCCATCACCTATTGGCTAGCTTTAGTAGTCCAATCATGAACCCCTATGATGGAATGTGGGTCATGGGAACTACTGAGTCAATTTGCAAATGTGAATGTGGGACAGTGTCTACTAGAAATAGAGTGCCTAAGGTGGCATGCCACTCCCTCTCTACTCTCATCTCTCTACTCTCATCTCTCTCTCTCACCCTCTCAAAGACTTAGAAAGAAAAAAAAGGGGCCACACCCCATAGAGTGCACAAAAGGGGGGCACGCCCCACATATAGTTGTGATCAAGAAAGGCCCCATGCCTTGGCACACATGCTCTCTTGTTTTAAGGGAAGGGATTAGCCAAAGCTTCCCATTTGCTGAGATTCAACTATAGATTAAGATCCCCAGCACCATCGATGGAGAACACTCGGTGTGAGGTGTACGAAGTCCTTGGGGGTAACTTAAGGCAAAGTATTTGGTAATTCTAATAGCCTCATGTTTTTTTTTATAAGGGTTAACTGTATTTCATTGAAAATTGAAAATAGAAAATACGAAGGTATTTAAAACCGACGATCCCTAAACAAGGGGACCCTCTTGGTCAGTTGTCAGCCTGCTCTATTCCAAAAAATTAAGAGTGCAAGCGTTAAAGTTACAAGATGTACAATGACTTTACAACAAATAGGGTTATAAGTTGTCCCTTTGTACAAAAACTTCAATGGAAAAAGACAAAAAATGGCACAAAAATGGCCAACAGCAGCAGATCCTTTATCCTCCTGTGTCTTCAATGTGCGCTCTGGCCCCGTCCTTTGCTAGGAGGTCAGCCAAGTCATTTGACGTCCTCAAGGTATGCATCCATGAGACGTCCATATCCCTGCAAATGTTAGCAATCTCATCAAAAATGGGAGCAAGGTACCAAGGAGGAGGGGAACCCCCTGATGCCCAAGAAATAATGTTACCAGCGTCCCCTTCCACATTAAGCTTTTGTCCCCAAGAGGAGTTGAAGTTTTTCAGACCCAAGAGAAGGGCCATTGCTTCAGCATGTTGGGAATTTTGGATGCCTAAGTATTCAGAATAAGTGTACAGAATAGCCCCGCAGTGGTCCCTATACACTCCTCCAGCTCCTGCGTGACCTGGGTTATCAAAGGAGCATCCATCATAATTGAGTTTAATGGTATCATAGGTAGGCGGATGCCACGAGTGGGTTCGTTTGGCCTTGCAAGGACAGTGGCACATAATATTTCCCCAGTTGTGAAGAAAAGAAGTCACATAGATTCCTACAAAGAGCCGGTGATTGGAAGCCCAAAAGTTACTAAGGACGCAACTTTATGGAATAGTGTTGCGCCTTCAGTAGCTTTTCCTTGGAAAATCCTAGAGTTCCTCTCATTCCAGATTGTCCAAATAGTAGCTGCCACCCCAGCTTTCCAAATAATTCTCCCTACCTTAGGCCAATGAAAGACTGGGTACATCCATAACAGTTCCTTTACTGTCGCTGGCAAGACCCAATGGACACCACAGCTGCAACAATTGCCCCCAAAGGCCGTAAGCCAGGTTGCAGTGGAGGAATAAGTGTGGGTTCGTTTCTTCTTCACAGAGGCAAAGGACACATCGGTTAGGAATTGGAATTCCCCTTTTTTGTAATTGATCCACCGTAAGGGTCCTTTGAGATCCTGCTATCCAGTTGAAGCACTTCACTTTGGGAGGAGCAATTGTGCTCCACACTTATGATAACATCGAAGGAGGGTTGAGAGGGAAGGGGGGGGTGGTTGTATGAGTCATTTGTATATAGATGCCACTGTAAAAGACCCAGAGGGAGTGAGAGTCCATATCAACTGGTCCCTCCCATAGATGGGAACGAAAGAATTTTGAAGAGTAAGGGAAAGGGAGAGGAAATGTGAGATTTCCTCTTCTGAGAGATTTCTTCTAAAGGTAGGGTTCCACAGCCTTCGGTTTCCCACTACGGTCCTTGCAACAGCAACTGTTTCTTCTTTATTGGAGGCTAAGGCATAGAGGGAGGGGTACTGTTCCGTAAAAGAGGTGTGACCAAACTAGGTATCCTGCCAAAAACGCACTTTTGTGCCCTCCCTGGAATGAAGACGAATGAAAGACCTGAAAAGTGGGAGGGTAGAGGAAAAAGATTTCCACGCACCTGAGGACCTGCAGGTGTTAAGCTTCTCTGGCACCCATGTTCCTTCTGCAATCCTATACTTGTGATGCAATACTTGAACCCAAAGGGAGCCTGTCTGGGTGCCTAGGTGCCACCACCATTTAGCTAAGAGGGCCTGGTTATGTTTTCTAAGCATCTTGATACTTAAGCCCCCTTGCTGCTTTGGAAGGCAGACTTTATCCCAAGAGATAAGGTGAAACTTTGATTGCTCCGCTTGGCCCGACCACAGAAAATTCCTTATTAGTTGTTCCAACCGGTTAGTCACAGAGGTTGGCATTTGGAATAGTGACATAAGGTAGATCAGAGTGTTGGCTAGAGTTGCCTTTATTAGGGTAATGCGACCTCCCTGAGAGAGATATCTACCCTTCCAACCCACCAAGCGCCGGTCGACCTTGTCAATAACATGAGACCAATGCCTGTGTTTGGGTTTACCGAGACCTAGGGGCAGGCCGAGATAAACAGTGGGAAGTTCGTCAACTTTACAATTCCAATTCAGGATCAAATCCTTTATTCCAGCAATGGAAATGTGTACCGCCATTATGGTAGATTTTTCCAAATTAACTTTAAAGCTTGTGGCCTCTTGGAAGCACTTGAGATACAATCTGAAGTTTTCAACTTCTTATGGGGAGGCGTCTAGGAAAACTAGTGTATCATTTGCGTATTGCAGATGAGACACTATAGGTCCTCTACGAGAGGTTTGGAAGCCTGAGAGTAAGCCAGCATGGAAGAGGCGAGAAATAGAACGGCTAAAGACCTCAACCGTAATAGTGAAGAGGAAGGGGGAGAGTCAGTCCCCTTGACATAAACCCCTAGTTGAAGGGAAGAAACCTTTGGGGGAACCATTGATAATAATGGAGAAGAAAGGGTTTGAGAGACGCCCTCTGATCCATTTCCGCCATCGGTCTCTAAAACCCATTCTTCTCATGGTTTCATCCAGGAGAGCCCAATCTACATGATCGTAGGCTTTCTCCCAATCAATTTTGAAAATGAGGCCTGATTTTTTTGCCAGAAACCTGGAGTGAATGCACTGATGGGCTATTAACGCTCCATCTAAGATTTGTCTATCTTTGATAAAGGCTGATTCGGATTGGGAAATGATGGAAGAGAGGACCTTCTGTAGCCATGTAGCCAAAACTTTGGCCAAGATTTTGCAGGAGTAGTTCAAAAGACTAATTGGACGAAAGTCCTTGAGCTCCTCGACCCCTTCGACCTTAGGTACCAGAGTGATAAAAGTAGCATTAATGGCCTTATGCAGAATTCCCCTG